GATAATTTAAATTTTTTTTTAGCATTCTTCATTTTAAAGCTGAACATTAAAAAAAATGTAGAAAAGCTGAAAATCCTAAGATGTTTTTCATTAATGTTTTAAAATATTTGAGAGACAGTTGTGGTTTTGGGGACTTGTTTGTATGATTTTTATGTCAACCAGGAAAATTTTTCAGTTAACTGTTGTACATACTTAAACACATACATAGTTTCTCTGAATGTATCACATCTATCATCAGAATGACTTCCCATAGACAAAGCTGTCCTCCATACACCAGTCCCCAGATTGGTGATTTTAAGAATGCCACTCAAAAGGTCTCTGCCCGTAAGAAAATTAAAGAATTGAGGCAGCATCAATGAATGTCAGACAGGAGTTAGGCAGCTCAGTTACTTAATTTGTTCCGAAACAAAAGCTGACTTAAGTCAGAATGAAATTGTACACTGAAGAGAGAGACAGGAGTTTACTAATTTTAAAATGTAAACATAAAATTTTATATAGGGATGTAACTATCTGAGTACATATATTGCCATTTCTCTGCTATATAGTAATATTTCTTGACACCAATGGTAATGTTTGTTCCTTCGTCAGCACCAAATGTGTCTGTATCTATTTGAACAGTAGGAGCCTCCTTTCTAAATTAATCTATGCTAAGACAAATACAAGCCAGTTATTGTTATGGTTCACTGAAATCAAGAAAATTCTCAGTTAATAGTAATTTTGGTTCATTCACTACAATGTTATTTTCCCTTTTACACTATAATTTCCAAAGGAGCATAACAAATTTGGATTTCCTTCAAAGAGCCAAAGTGTACCTCTACAGAATGGAAACACTGTGTTCATTCACAACGTAATATGAATAATATTAAAAATTTCCCAAGTAATGCCAATTTAAATGTTCAAAATCCAGTTATGTGCTTTGTTATAAAGCAGTCCAAACAAAAATTCCTTTGTTGCTTTCTGTTCTCTCTTTCAAAATCTATAAATCCTACTGAAGTTAATCTATTTTTTCCCACTTCAGAACACCAGGCACTGATTTATCCATTAGGAGTTCTGGCTTGCTTTCTAATACCTAGATTAAGAAAACAAAATAAGACAAATCATTAACTTGATAATATAATGAGTGAGTACAGTAGACAAGTTTAACATTGACCCTTTAAAAAACATTTCTAGCAATTTCCCTCCACCTATGCAGTAGTCACCTCGTGAAATTACCTACTAATACATTATTTTAATAATGTTTGAAGGAAGTGACTATGTTAGCTGCCGAAAGTGTATGCTTGATACCTACAGACTTAATGTTCAGAGTTAAAAGAAACAGCCTCTGAATTAATCAAGAGTAAAGCAGGACTTAAAGAACCAGCCACCCTGTCCAGATGAGTTCCCTCCATGGAGTGGGGCGTGTCCATCTAGAAGCAGGTTCATGGCCACTGCACCATCTCAGGTTACTCCTTTCCCAGCGTGGTTTTGGATGTAAACGGATGCCTTCAAAGGCAGAGACTGAGTCAAAGCCAACCAATCCAATATGTCATTTATACTGTGATCATAGATCCCCATGTAAAGAAACTAAGCAGTCCAAATCATAAACCAGTGATTTCCAAATACTAAGTTTTGTGAGAGGAGAAATTAATCGTAGTATCATAAAACTGAACTGGGCCACAGTCCCTCAGTCCATTTGATTTGTTGACAGTGAGGAAAAAGAGAGAGGTGGGACTCCTGGGTGGTTAAGCGTCCAGCTCTTGGTTTCAGCTCAGGTCATGATCTCAGGATCCTGAGATCGAGCCCTGCATTGGGCTCCGTGCTTAGTGTGGAGTCTGCTTGACATTCTCTCAATCCCTCTGCTACTGCCCCAGCGTACATGCGTGTGCACTATGTGCTCATGTGCTCGCTCTCTCTCTCTGTCTCTAAAAATTAAATAAATCTTAAAAAAAAAAAAAAGGAGAGTGGATATGTCAAAGGCACACCCTGTTCTCCTGGGTAGTTTTTACACACCAGTGGAATGTTCTCCAGTATGAGATTAGCATGAAAACACTGAGCGAACTGAGGGATGATACGTCTTGAAGAGTTAAAAAGGTACAATAACATCACCAAGGGAATCACATGCCGCGCTGCTCTCAGACCTACCAGACCGACCATGCAGCTTTAGGCAAGTTACACTCCTTGCTCAAGGAACTTCAAAGACTCCCCATGGCCTTCAGAATGAAGTTCAAACTTCCTAGCTTGCTCTTCAATGCTCCCTTTGATCTGGTCCCAACTTACTCTTCCATCCTTTTCACCCAAATCTTAACTCCTTAGCCACACTAGAAGACTTGGCTTTCCAAATAAGCCCTGCAGTTTCTCCCTGCTGTGGGGTGGTCAGTGATGCTGACTCCTCCTGGCATGCCCTTCCTTAACTGCCCCCCAGTCCAGTCCTCCTCAGCCTTCAAGGCCCAGTTCACGTGCTGTCCTAAAGCCACTCCTGACTCTCAGCCAGAGGAAATCTCTCCTTGCTCTGAACGCCGATTCCTAGCAAGGGAGACTAGAAGTGAAAGCCAGAATAAAGGAGGCAGGCATCATTCTCCTGAAGGTGAGGGGTCCTCTCTCAAGGTCTCTGCACATCTCTCATTCATTTCCACTCACAGAGTGGATCTTGTTATTTGGTTACAAATCACCATGGGTCCTTTCACCTTCCCATATTTCCATCTGATCCATATTGCTTATTAAAATTTTACCTCAACCACTCTTGCAATTTAGTTACAGTCAGTGACAACTGGTTTATGAAAAAGAAAGAACAACTCTGTGCTGGAGCAATATAATGATTTTTATTTGTACTAAATACTTGGCAGTATCCAATTCAGTAGATTCTACTCATGAACATGCTATGCCACAGGAGTCACATCTCCAGATCTGTTCTTAGTGCAAGGTCAGCCATTGTACCTGGGGTCACCTAGCCGATAGCAGAGGTCTTTCTGTTTCCCCTGCATTTTATCTTACCCCTCATAGAGTTTTATAGTGCCTCTCTACTACAGTTATATGTGTATTACTCTCAGCCTCTCAATTCCACATCCTAAATTCCCTGAGAGGGTCATTTCTGTACTGTGCAAGTGTTGAATGAGAGTCTACACGGTGGCAGGCCTGTACCTGGGAAATGGGTGGGCAGGAGTCTAGGTCCCAGCCATGTCAGAGTGGATAGGAGATTCACAAGTAATTAATTGAGAATTGTTGTAACACAACTACAAGGGAAGAGTATAAAGGGTCAGAAATCATACTTAATCTTTGCCTTACTCTCTGATACCTAGTGTAGGGCCTCAGTAAAGACAAAGTGCAAAAGTGAGAATGCCAATGAATAAACAGAATGAGTGAATAAGGAATCCTAAAAATTAAGAGAAATTAATTAATCCATGTATTTTACATCACTTTAGTTTATTTTAGCTTCAATTACACTGACGTGCTGAGGATTTTCATTTATACTTTGACCAGCTCCACACAATAGGGGCCATAAACCCAGCCCGGTTTTCTGCCTGGTGGGCACGTTCAGGACGATATATTGGATTTTCTTTTTTCAGTGCTGTCCCTTTGCTGTCATAGGCTGCATCTATCCCTAGAGCTGTGATGACACTTGTCAAGCACAGGCTCAGCTCCTTTATGGAAGAAGGAAAAGGCTCCCTCCAAGGGGAATGCAGCCCAAGCCACAGTGCCTGGCCCTGTCCATGGAAAATGAACTGCTCTATAGAAGCCTCACACTTCCCCTGGCCAGGAGCCCAGGGGTGGAGAAGAACCTGCACAACCAGGCTGAGGTGAGTTTGGGAAATCCCACAAACTTCAGATTTACGTGTGGCCAGCCACTGCCCTGGTTTGTGAATCCGGGAGAAATGTGTATTAAGTGTAAATCGCTAGTGTAAGCTCTAGTGAAAAGTCTCCATGTGACCCCCGAGGCACTGGTGCCTCTCCCACGTTGCTGCATGTTCAGCATCATTGTAATGGTGTTGTTATGGTTGGGATCAGTCACAGGTGGCACAGGTGGTTAGGCTTGCTAACCCAGCAACACTAGAGCATCCTTACAGGATGAGGAGAACAGAGACAAGCCAATCACACTACCTAACTCTGCTCCCGTTACTTTCATCACAGCGTCACCCCTATTAATATTCATGTGCTGGGATCCCCTCTGAGATTTCATTCAAAGAAGGGTTTAGGGGCTAGGCAAATGATGGAGGAACCTCCACACAGCACTCCTTTTTGTAGGGTATTTTTCTAGTACTTGTGGTTTTAGAACTCAAATTTGTAAAATCTTGGTTTCTACAGAACAGTGGGTCTGACCCCTTCAGTGGAGTGCTTTAAGGCAGTGATTTTCAAAATGCACTTTAAAGAACTCTTGGAATTTCTTCAGAGCTGCTTCATGGATGCTGGCAAAGAGACAGGAAATCCAACTGTTGGGGATCCCAAAGGTCACCCACACAGCATATGGCATGTTTTACATACTCAGCCACCACACGGGCTATTCGGAGTAAACAGTGTGTTCTGTGTGCATGTCTTGTCTCGGAAGGTAAGCTTTAGGATGACAAAAACCGGCATACATCTCCCCACCCCCTTCTCTAGCATCATCAAAGAAAGATCGGTTCTAAATATGTGATAGCATGGACAGACCATTTTTCAAGGAAGCTGTAGTAGTAGTAGAAACAGACACAGGTAGGGGCGCCTGGGTGGCTCAGTCAGTTAAGCATCTGCCACATCAGGTCATGAACTCAAGAGTCCTGGGATCGAATCAGATTCCCTGACTCAGATTCCCAGCTCAGAGGGGAGTCAGATTCCCTGCTCAGATGGGAGTCGGCTTCTCCCTCTCCCTCTGCCCCTCCCCCCCTCGTGCTCTCTCTCCCTCTCTCTCTCTCTCTCTCTCTCTCTCTCTCCCTCCCTCTCTCTCAAACAAATAAAAATCTTAGAAAAGAAAAGAAACAGACACATGTATAATGCCTGTCAGTGAACTAAAACACTTCGAGAGGAGAATTACTAAGCGAGGCAAAGAGGACTCACGGTGAAATTGTGCAGCCCGAGGCATAGGCATGGTGTCCCGTGTAGCGGATTTCACAGCGCACAACGTTGTTGGAATAGTCCGATTCAGGCACCAGGTAGCTGGGGTTCACACTGACCTAGGCAACGTAAACATCATCCATGTTTCAGATTTCATCAGCAGTGTTTGCTGGTTAATTTCTTCCTATTTCCACAGGGCTAGAACAAGGAAATGCTTCAACTAAATCAAGCAGGGAGGGGATTTAAAAAGTAAAGCAAGTGGTGAAATTCTGGAGAAGTTATAGAAGGAGGCTCTATATTTTCCCCTGAAGTTCCTTAAAATATTTTTTTTCACATAGGTAGGTTGGTTTAGAAATATTTCTAGGAGACATTGAATTGCTTGCAGGATTGTGGTTATCTCACAATGAATTCAGAAGGGGAAGCCCACTGAGTTGCAGTTGAAATAGATTAAAGTTTCTATTTTCAAAGGCCTCTACCTTTAGAATGTAGTTTCCAGGTTTTACATCCGTAATATCAATCCATTGGCAGTCTATGTCTGCATTATAGGTATCATAACAGCCAGGACTCAACCCCTAAAACAAATAAAATTTAAAAATGTAAAAAGATGGTATATGGTTAGAGTATGCTAAAGAATGTGCTTATTATTTGCAAATTAAATTTTAAGTTAGTACTTACAAGAGTTTGACATAAAACTATACTTATATTGCATCTCCTTTGAGAAGTATATATTACTCAGCCTTATAGCACCTCCAGCTAAAAAAAATACAGGACTAATATAAGTAGTAGTACATCTAGCTTCTTAAAAGTGTCATCAATCACCAGTGATAAATACAATCTTAAGTGACAGAATAGGCCTCCATCAAACTTCTAGAATATCACCAGTTCGGGAACAAAGGCCATGTAATAATCCACCTAACTCACATGTCCTCAGTACAACCCTTCCCACTTTCTCTCGGAAATTACCTTCCTTTACTCTGAATGCCCCGATTTTATAGTGTTTGTCCTCTAATGCTCTGTATTATAAGGGTACCGTATAAGAATATATCCAACTAGAGATTATAAACTCCCTGAAGGGGGAGTCTTTGTTGCATTTTTGAGTAGATAACATTTATAAAGTATGTAGTATGTGCCAGGAACAGTTTTAAACATGTTACGTCTATAAATTCAATTTTCACAAGTACATGAGATAGGTGCTATTCTTATCCCCATTTTGCAGGTGAGGAAAATGAGTCATTTTAAGGTCAATCACGTCACTTGATATATAGATAGTAAGTGGCTGAGCTGGCTTTCAGTTTAGATGTTGAGGGCCGAGGGTCCCTGGGTCCCCACCACACTATTCTCTCTCTCACATTGCCACTGAAATATGTCATTGAATTAAAGGGACGAATGTATGCCTCAGTAAATCAATACCACCACATCACTCCACTTGCTAAGATACTCACTTCAATAAGGAAATGAGTGCCTTCTACAGGCAGGGAGGAGAAAAATTCCAGTAAGATAGGGTCCTTGCTCTCCAGAAAGTTACCGTCTGGGGAAATTTGCTCAAATTGGAGTCCGTAGGTATATTCTTGATTCCATTAGTTCTTCTTGAGAAGTTTGAACTGTATTTTCATTCTAATACTAATCTAAAGTACATTTAAAAGCGTATGCTAGAATCATTTTAACTCATTACTTCTATTTCATTTCAGCCCCCCAAATTTCTTCAGTGCTTAAAATCACTTTGGTCACGGGGCGCCTGGGTGGCTCAGTCGGTTAAGCGACTGCCTTCGGCTCAGGTCATGATCCTGGAGTCCCGGGATCGAGTCCCCCATCGGGCTCCCTGCTCAGCGGGGAGTCAGCTTCTCCCTCTGACCTTCCTCCCTCTCATGCTCTCTCTCTACCATTCTCTCTCTCTCAATAAATAAATAAATAAATAAATAAATAAATAAATAAATAAATAAAAATCTTTAAAAGATCACTTTGGTCACCAAAGAGATGGCAAGATCCTCTAAACATATTCTAGTAATGCTGGTGTGGCTCTTGCTGGACTGGGGAAGAAGGGCACAGCACTGTGCTCTTATTCAGCACACAATAGCACAGACAGGCCAAACTCAAAAGTACCTGTGTCGCAGCAGGGAGAACCATATGAAGATTTCTCAGTTTCTGGGCCCAGCACATTAATTCTGATTCTGGCACATACTAGATACTCAGTAAGCATTAGCTATTGTAGTTGTTGCCACTGCTCCTAACACCAAGTCCCACCACCTCCCATGGCTTTGTAACACCTCCATTCATTGGATGAGCTATGTATTTAAGACTGTTCAAACAATGCCACAATGCCGATCTTACCTTCAAGTGAGCAAAAGAGCTTTAAGGAGTGCTGAAATTGGTACTCCTGCTAGCAGGATTTAAGTTTTAACTTTGATTATTTGAACTAGCACACAAATAATGGGAATTTTTAAGGCTATTGAAAAATCAGGCATGTCCTGTATTCAAAATCAAACTTTAAAAACAGATGAAATGTAGAGAGCCTTGGGACGCCTGGGTGGATCAGTCGGTTAAGCGTCTGCCTTTGGCTCAGGTCATGATTTCAGGGTCCTGGGATCGAGCCCTGCATCAGGCTCCCTGCTCCGTGGGGAGTCTGCTTCTCCCTCTCCCCACCCCCCCCCTCATGCTCTCTCTCTCTCTCTATCTCAAATAAATAAAATCTTAAAAAAAAAAGAAACATAGAGTCTTAACTAATGCTGTCTAAATTAGCTGTCTGGTTTTAGCAAAAGAGAAGCAGTGGTTACATTAGATTAATGAGGTTAATGTAACTGTTTCTAGTTTCATATATGTTGAAAATGTAAATGTGTCATCTAAGAACTTAAGAGTTATATGGAAGGATAGATATAAGGAAGTGATATCTACTTTTATATTTGGATACATTCAAACAACATTGTAATACAACTATTCTAAGTCAGCGTTGGGGTTTTGTGAGAGTTGTTTTTCCCCTTTAAGTGAAGTCCATGTTCAAGAAACACCAGTCTAGTGAAAAACACAAATACGTCAATCACTTGCAATGCAAGACCTGGTGAACAGTCGTTTAAATAGGACATAAACGGAAGATGATTAATAAGAAAGCTACCATAGAAAATGAAGTGGGGTCACCCCAAGGAACTGGAAAACTAGAAGCGCTATAAATACCTAGAGACCTAAATTCAAATATTCCAATAGAGAGCTGTCCAGAGTGCCTCTTTTTCTAAATGGAAAGAACAAATGCCAGGGCCTCTGCATAGGCGGGCAGCCACTGCGGAGATCACTGAGCAAAAAGGGAATCCCTCTGCCCACATATGTGTAATGTGTGGGTAGGCTGCATCAACTTTTAGTTAAAGGGTAAGTGCTGCCCCCAGAGCATGTGGAATTGAACCTCTTCTTCCTCCCATTGCTCTGATGTTTTAAGTTCAGAGAAAGAAACAGCGGTAACGTTTAGGTCACTAAAAAGCTTCTCGCCACAGCCCGGGATTTGCTCCCCAAGATGCTAGCTGCTGATCCTTTCGTGCCCTGCGTTATGTACGTTCACTGCTCCTTGCCAGGATTTCGGCTGGACTAAAATTACAACATCCTCTTACAGATGAGGGTGTTTTGTGGAAATACTGGCATGGCTTTTAACTGACACACATTTTCCCATTATAAGGCATACACACTGCTTAGGTCAGCACTATTTTTAAAAATCCATCCAAAGGACATCTGACATCAATTATACTGTAGGTTTAACTACATATGCGTGGAGAAAGAAATTGTGTCCTTCTGCTCCCATTTGCATGCTTGAAAGAGACCGGTTTTAAAGTGCTTTTTAAGAAACTTAGGTTCTGTCTTTTCTAACCCCAATCACCATTCTCTCTCTAGCTTAAGAGGTGGAGGGAGGAATGGTTTTAAGGTGAGAACACGGAAGTGTCTTCACCATTATTTACCAAGCCAGTTGAAGAGTACAGAATGAGTGCAGATACGGGAAACCAGTCAGATTTGTTCAGGGACTAAACCACTGCTTTTCACTGTGGAACATAGCGACTATGCACATTCACCTTCTATGATGATGAAATGCTTTAAAAATAATTTGAATCTGGGATCCTGGGTGGCTCAGTCACTTAAGCGTCCAACTCTTGATTTCAGCTCAGGTCATGATCTCAGGGTTGTGAGATCAAGCCCCATGTCGGGGCTCCACTCTGGGCATGGAGGCTGCTTGAGATTCTCTCTCTCTGTCTCCTTCTGCCCTCCCCCCCTTCTCTCCCTCTCTAAAAATAAATACATTAATTATAATAATTTGAATCAAGTGACCAGCTTCCTTTTCCCAATTATTTTCCATCTTGACTAGATGACCCCCTAAATCAAACAGTTTATATAAAAAAGACTGGCAGGAGGAAAGAAAAAGAGAAGACCACATTGTTTTCTCTCTGAAGCCTGCGGGTTCCTGGGGTCAGGGGGTCAACCCACCTGTGTATGCGCAGTACATGCAAATCGCCTGTGGTAGCCATAGTCACAGGATGTGTCCTCAAGACAGAAACTCGCTTTGTGGCCTTCAGCCACTCTCCTCTGGGTCCCAGCATCAAGTAGGTCATAGTGGCTGAATTCATCCATGCTGTGATAATGTCTGATGTCCCACAAAACACAGAGACAGAGATCAGTAACATACGGAGAAAGGCATGAGGACTTTAGATGACTTCCCCACTGCCTCCCACACTTGTTTTCACATTATAATCGAGATCCAGTTTATCTTCTTAAAGCTAGATTCATGCTAACTTTTTTTTTTTCCCCAGGAAGAGCCATCTATCAGAATTGTAAGCCTTTAACCTTGCTTCTAGGAAGAAAGGACTTCTTTTGAGTGTTTTGTTTTCCTATTCCACCCTGTTTTATCTTTGAATATTAAATAGAAATAGACACTAAATGATCTGTGTTTAAGTAAAACCTGCCATATGCTCTCTAGTCTGTTTCTTTTGGCTGCCGGTACTGATGTTTCATTCCAAATAAAAGAAGAGCACATGACTCTTGGGAGGTTTCTGTGAGACTTTAAAAAAATGTAAAACCATTACTAAAATGCAAGGGAGAAGTACTGGTATGTTTCCCCCATCATTATTATTTAACTAGTATGAACTTTTATTTAGAAATAAAACAATTCTATTTTATCAGAAAATTAGGTGTTCACATCTGCTTTTCTCATTTCATTAAAGAGAAGGTGCTGAGCCATGTATCTTCTCACATAAGGAAAGAACAAGAAAAAATCGCTCAAATTGCAGGAGGTTTCAGGGCATCCGTCAGGATTTCCTGGCATTATCGGGATTCCCGGGCAAGTTACCAAGGCAAATTATAGAATCACCTTATATAGAGATCTTTAAATTTAGGACAGAACAGACAATTACCCTGGGTTTAACACAGGCGTTTTAAAAGATAGAGAGGTAGGTCCTTCTCAGCTCGTGGAGTATATCATCTCGATCTTTCTTTGAGGTTGGTGTATGAATCCTTCTGACAACAACTTGTAGTTTTTATTAAATGCTAACTAGGGCGCCTGGGGTGGCTCAGTCAGTTAAGCGTCTGCCTTTGGCTCAGGTCATGATCCCAGGGTGCTGGGATGGAGCCCCGCATCAGACTCCCTGCTCAGCGGGGAATCTGCTTCTCCCTCTGCCCCACCTCCCACTGGTTCTCTCAATCTCCCTCTCTCTCTCTCAAATAAGTAAATAAAATCTTTAAAAAAAATACTAACTAACTGTAGATGATTTCGGCTATAACAAGCTTCTTTTAGAAATCTTACCTGCAGTGTATTGGAATAAAATTCTAGTGAAGCCAATTGCTGTAACCTATCAGCAATTTTAATGAAGTGGACTTAGAGTTTCCATTTTGAAAACAGGATCTGGTAGTTGATGTATTTTCTTAAAGGAAGACTCCCTTGATGATGTCACATTACACAGAGAAATTTCTAGAAATAAGACTTTGCATTTGCACATCAAGAGCTACCTGAAAAAGGAAGACGCAACTTGGAAGTACCCAGGAGGCCCATCCACTTACTGGTGACAACTGTGCCATTCCCAGGAATATCTCGGTCGGCTTGGTAAGAAATCTGATGTCCCTTGGTTTTTCACTCTTTGGGGGAATCTTAGCAGCACCCTGTGATCATAATCTCTGACATCTGCTCTGTATGCTGTGCTGTGATTTTGAAAACGAAAACATTACTTTCACAGGATATTAACTGAAGACAAATTCCACGCAAAACCTTTTCCATTTTATAATGGCAACTACCTCCCACCTCCAACTAGACTATCAGTTGCAAGAGGCATTTTCCTTATTTTGTTTATTGCTGAATCTCCAGGTCCTAGAACAGTGCCTGGCAAGTGGCCAGAGTTCAGTGAATATTTGTGGAATAAGTGAATAAATGACAACTATGGAAATCTGCAGTAAAATGTGAAAAGGGATAATAAAATTAGCACTACAAATGTACATGTGATAAGTAAATTCTGTATTTATAATCAGTTCTTGTTTAACCACGTGAATGAGTAGAAAGTATCCCAAATAAAAAAAAAAATCCTATGTACTTATTAAGAACTTTGAATTCATCAATAGGTTTCTTCTTAAACACTTTCCTAAGATGTAAAGTGGGGAAATAATTCTAGAAGCATACACCCAGATTAGATAAGTAATTTGTAACTTCACTATCTTGAAAACAATGGCATGACTGTAATAATATCCTAGGGAGTGCAATGGAGTGAGTGATGCAAGACTCAAAAATGAAAATGGTAAGTTCGGCTTTCTTCTCTTCCTTTAGCCTGACAGTTCTAAAGGGTCAAAGAGGGAGAAATATACAACTGAACAGATAAATATCACTCTGTCCCTTCTAATATATTTTGTGTAAATATATATATTCACATACTGTTGAGTATTTTCACTTTCCACTTGAAAAATTTTTATGAGACCCTATCAGAACATCTTTTGCTCCCTCTGCTGGTTTCCCAGAAGCAAAGTCAGAGAATTCCATTCCCCAAACTGCTATGATTTTATTTTAGGACTGATTCAAAAACAAAGCTCTTGCTCATGCTCTTATTCTGGCTGAAGTAATACCAAAACAACTAAGTTAAATTGTGGCCTCAAACAAAAGATGAAAACCTAAACTTCGCTGACGAGGGGTGCCCCACTGGCAAGTTAGCCCTCTGTTTTTTTTAAGGGGTCACTGACCAGCTCTTCCATTACAATATTTTTTCCACGTTATCGTACAGTTCTTTAATAGAAAGTTATGGGAAACCACTGGCTCCAAAGTTTGAGGATCTTGGAAAAAGAATGTGAGATCCCAGCTCTCCAGGATAAGGATTTGTCCCCAGCTCCCTGATTTGTGTCACAGTTTGAAAGATAGAACCCACAGAAATCTTCAAAATGTTAACTCTCCATCCAGGTCCGCATGCCCAGGAGACCACATTCCACTTCGTAGCTCTTGCCCCATTTCCCAACTCTTGTCTGCATGGACCGAGAGCGGTCAGACCAGGCACAAGAGCAGCGCCTGAAGCGAGACGGGGCAGCCAGGCCGCGGAGATCCCAGCCAGTACCTGGCCAAGCAGTTTTCCTCTGCAGCGCATCTCAGGTTGTACATGGACATCTTTTGCACGTACGTGGACGCCTGGATGTAGTACGGGTCTGGCACCAGGTCCGGGAGACCTAAACGTCAGGAGGTGATGGGGGGAGGTAGCTGTGAGACAACCCAGTGGCCCCTACCCCAGCTCCGGGTCCCTCCGTGTCCCTTACTCTTCACCCTTCACCCAACCGGGCTGCGGGTAGCAGGAGAACGGGGGACGCCCAGGGCTGCAAAGCAAAGTGGAAAGAAAGCAGGAGGGGCCAGGCGCGCGGTTTGCACCGGATTCCAGGGCTGCCTCTGCAGGCGCAGGGGGAGGGAATCGGATCAGCGGGACTAAGGCCTGCCGCGCCCAGGCAGCCACGTTGGGGAGCCACAGCATTGGGGAAGGGGTGCGCGGCTGCTTCCTGCGATTTGGGGGCTGCTTACCGTACTGGAAATAGCCGGTGCCGTATCCGGGCCGGTACCTGCTCCCAGGCCGGGGCCTTTCGTACGTGTCGTAGTAGTTGTAATAGGGGTTGTCGTCGGAGTACTTGTAGGGGTTGTACGGGTCGTCGCCCACCATGCCGTCTACGCGGCTGGGCGGCTGCAGGTTACTGAGCGCCGGGCGCTCCCCGGACGTTGTCCGGTTGCCGTCGCGGGAATCCCCAGCGTCGCGGGCCCCGGACGAGGAGTAGCCAGCTTGGAACCAATGGCGGGCGGCGGGTCTGGGTCGGCCGGCGACCCCCGACGTGCCTGCAGTGCGCTCGCGTGCTGCCGCCGTGCGGTTGCGGAGCAGCAGGATCGGCGTGCGCGGCTGCGGGGCTGCGGCGTTGGCAGCGCCCGGGGCGGTGGTGCCCGGGTCCCGTCGGCGCTGCGGCTGGTACTGCGAGCCCAGGCTCAGCAGGCTGAACACCTGCCCGTTGTTCTCCCATTGGATCCTCTGGCGCCAGGCGGCCGGAGCCGGCGGCTGCTGGCGAGGGGGCTGCTGCTGGCCGGCGGCCGGCGAGGTGCAGCGCAGGAGCGCGCAGAGCTGCAGGGGCCCGAGCAGGAGCGCGGTCCAGGCGAAGCGCATCGCTCCCTTTGCCTGATTGTCCCCACTCCGGGAGGACGTAGGTCGGAGAAAAGAAAAACGGGGCCCAAATCACGTGAAGGAGGGAGAAATCTTCAACAAGGGAGGCGGGCGGAGCGCGGGTAACTCAGTCACTACAAGCAGTGCCAAGGGTGGGCTGCAGACCCTTGTCCAGTAGAGGCGGCTGCTGGGACGTGGCACCCGCCTGTCTCCTCTTTCCCAGTCCTTCTGGAAGGCGACGGGGAGCGGCGCGGCGGCCCCGGCGAGCGGGCAGCGTCTGGAGTGAAGGAAGGAGGAGAGATTTTAAACTTTCTGGCACGTTTGCAAAGTTACACAAGCAGTTCTGGCCCGGCAGCCCCTCCGCTATTTGTTCACGTAATGCGATTGGAAACGTGCAAGGCGGACAGCTCCTCGCCTCTGCCCCTCCCTCCCTGTCCTCCTCCCCCCAGACACGTTGCACAGGGAGCGTTAAGGGGAAAGAACAAAACGGAACACACATCCTGAGACACACTCGGCTTAATCTGGGGCGAACATGCAGGAATTTCAAAAGACTCAGACAGGCGAAGGCAGCCAGGCCATGGGGCGACGCCAAAATATGCATGAAGAAAAATGCTATTAGGTCACCAGCCCTGGAGAGGCGGGAAGTCGGGAGGTGGGGAGGGTGCTGGGGGCGAGAGTGGGGGGGGGGGGGGGGGGAGGGATGCTTGTGACTAACGTTTATCCATAAGGAGTTAACCAGACAAATTTCCCAATGCATACTCACTCGCTTTTATGGGAAGCGCCCTCAGCAAATAAACCCCGGGATATCATATTTTGTTTTTCTGTGTGTAGGTAATATGAGAAATGGGTTACAAATTTGTTTCCTACAGTGAGTATTTTAATAACCAAAAGTGAAATTTTACAGAGAACAAAGCCATCTAACATTGAAGGGATGAATAAACCTGTCTCTTTTTCAAAATGCTGGCCTGACTTGTACTTTGAGTGGGAGTGGAAAACCTCTTTCATCTGGACGGTATCTACCGGGACATTTCAGTAAAGGGGGCTATACCAAGTCTGCCTGGGATCGCACTCAGAAGGCAGCTTCAAAGAAGCATTTTACATGACTTTTTCTCATCCTACATCCGATGAGGAGGTTTGACTTCGGATTAAAAAATAATAATAAACACTTTAAATCATTGTTTGTTAAATTTTTGAAAAGTCAGTAAAACATCCTATGGTGTTTGGGTGATCTTCCAATGTAAGCAAAGGGATTTCTGAAGAAACAGCCTGGGGGTTCAGATTCTGTTAAGGACAGGGGAGTGGGAGGGGCCAGACAAGAATGGGGGGCAGTTGGGTAGGAGGCAGGTAATGCCAACTAGAAAGGGATGCTTAATGGGCCTGTTATTCACATACCACACAGGGTTGGGGCAGTGTTGGAAACATTTCAAAGAAAAAAAATCTTTAGCCTGATTTAAAACTGTGACTCAGAACCAGATTTTAATAACCTTTTTATTGGTTTCATCATTGGGCTGTTGTCTAAATGAACTTCATTATTCGCCTCTTCATGTTGATCTCTGTTTCCCCGCATTTAATCACCCCGTTTTGATGATGTGGACAGCTGCTGATGTGAATGCTTAGCATCCATTTTCCCTTTTTTCTAGCAAGAACAACTGTATTTTCCTTTGGGAAAAATCCCTACCCGGTTGCATGGTACTGACTGAGCATTCAGGAGACTTCTGCCTCTTCAAGCAGTGGCAGGGAGATCCCAGCTCGGTTCATCAAACCATCTCCCTACCATTGGAATCATGACCAGATGGACACAAGGCTCAAAAATTCTGGAGCTCACACTCCCCGCTACTGAAGAAAGTTTCTACGAGTTCTTGCTACACAGATTCCCCCTGAGCTGTTTCAGACCTGTACCTTCCAAGACGTGATTGTTCAGCTTTTCCTTCCTTTTCTCCATTGCAGTCCTTTGTGGCTTGACACAGTCAGAGTCAATTGCTGTTGGTTGCCACTTTAAGAACCTGGACAGATACTGAGGGGAATTGTGATTGGTTCTCTGAGCTAATCAGATCTCATGATTCTGCATCCAACACACAGGATGGGTTTGGCTCTTTTTGAGTCAAATTAGATTTGCTCTGCCCATGACCGCACAGCATCCTTGATTACAGAAGAGTTCCAGATGGAAGCTTGCCAGTAGATTGATGAATCTGTTGCTTATATGATGAAGGCAAAATCCAAGTGCGCATCCCACTCATGGCAGGTGAACAGTGCCCCGTCTCTGTCTGAAAGTCAGAGACATTTTGTACACTTGCCGCAGAACTTAAAATTAAAGTACTCAATGTCTCCAAACCCACTAAGAGAAGATGGAGCAAAAAAGAAGCAGGTGTATATAATTTAGATAGACAGGCCAAATGATAGGGGAAGCAGGAAGGGAGAGAGAGTGTAATTATCTCTCATCTCTCCTCTGCCCATTAACAGCTTATTCCCCAGAAAGAGAATCCCGTAACTGCTAGCACTTGACCACACATCGCTGAGGGAAGATCTCTTCTGTGGAGTTGACACTGTCAGATTGGCAGGCCAGAGCAACCCCTAATGGGAGGGTAGAAAGTTTATCCTGGATGCTGGTTAAAATACCCTTGTTTCCCATCCTGGTGCTCACATTTTAAAAAAAAAAAGCTCGGTATCTTTGAACAGCTGATTTACTTTCCCTGGCTCTTTGTTATCTGTAGGATTCAAGGATTAACTCAAATTCTTTTTAAAGCGTTTTTCCTAGTCTTAAAGCCACTGATTTTTGTGAATGTCTAAGTAATTCCAGCGACTTTCCATCTATTCACTATAATGTTGCATTATGATCATTAATATTTCATTAAATAACTCCTTTAGTTGGACTTTAAAACTTTGGGTGTATTTTATGTGTGAGTTAGAGTCTGCAGACTGCTATTTTCCCCTTTTACGTATTTCCCTTCAGTGAAATTCGGTATACATTTTTGCTTTACGCATGTCTCTTGATCACACTTATGCTATGAAGTGTAGTACACCATCGTGTTGATTTACACACATGAATACTCAATGAGTGTCAACTGATTCCCTCATTTGCAGAATTTATAGCTGAATGAGCTTTATCATTTGTTTCAGATTTGCTCTAACAGACTTAAAAATGTGTTATCAGAGTGTAAATAACTAGAACAGTAGTGGTATGCAATATTTATTTTCTTTTAAACACACACACAGTACTTTAGGGAAGAAAATATATTACCCTTTGTCACTCATCCTAATAAGATGTTTAGCTGGTTTTCTCTCTCTTCCGCTTTCTCTAAACTCTCTCTGGCCTAAGACTCAGCCAACTGAAAACAAACATATGGCTACCACATGAGGGGCAATTGAAAGTATGTGCAAGGCCTGTAGGGGATACTGTAGCCACAAATCGTGCTCTCTGTGCAATGACAAAACTATTATTCACAAAATCGGAGAAACCACACTGCCTTCTAATCAATACTGAGACAACAAAAACAACAATGGCAGCTGTATCAGAATACCTTTAGCTTTTTAGCTTTGGTAAGAGCCATAACTGATTCCACTCTGACCTTGAGACTTTCCTTTCATGGACCGTTCTGCAGTATAGACCATATGAAGAGGAGTATTGAAATGGAACTAATTCTATTTTTTAGGTTCTAGGCTATCGTTATCAAGAATTTTTTAAAATTGTATTTATTTTTTTTAAAGATTTTATTTCTCTGAGAGAGAAAGAGCAAGAGCTGGAGAGGGAGACGGTGATGGACGGAGGGAGAGGGAGAAGCAGACTCCCCGCTGAGCAGGGAGCCCGATGCGGGGCTCGATCCCAGGACCCTGAGATCATGACCTGAGCCGAAGGCAGATGCTTAACTGACTGAGCCACCCAGGCACCCCTTAAATTTTATTTTTGAGGATTCTCTATACCCATCGGAGGGTTCAAATTTGCAACCCCGACTTGCATGCTCTCTACCAGGTGAGCCAACCAGGCAACCCATTCAATATCAAGAATTTAAACTGAAACAATGTTTGGCCCATTGACCAAGAAGTGGAATTTGTCATAAAGCCATGTTCATAATATTTGTTCACTGTATTTATAGTTGTGGGATAATTCATAGAAGTGGAAAGTAGAATTATGCAGAAAGCCTAAACCATAGAACACTGCCCCTTGAATGACCAGGGCCAGAATACTGAAGAACCCCAGGTTGAATATAAGCTCTTATCAGCTTTGTTCTTTAGTAAAAATGAATGCTTTTATGTGCTTTGGTGCCATGGAGTTTGGAAAACATCAGAGAAAATAAAATAAAGGACGTGGGAAGTTAGAGGTCTGGAAGGGGGAAATGACTGAGAAAAGAGGAAGGTATGACATCAACACAAGGGGGATGACTTGAGAGACAAATAAGGAGCACATTTTTTAAAAAATTCAGAAAGGGTAGCAGAGTGAAACAAAGAACTAGAACTCATTTTACTTAGAGTAAAATGGAGGAGAAGAGTGAGTTAGTCTTCAACTTTACAGTGCTCTTGTGTTTCCTTTTCATTCTTGTCCCCTGCCACATACCACTTCCAGGTACTCATCCAAATATAAAAGTAGACAGTTGGTACACACTTGTCTATGTGTCAAGAATGGCCTGAAAAAAAAATTCTGTAAACAGACTGAGTAGAAGAATTCCAGAAATAATGAATTTTAAATATATCTTCTTTGGTTACCCATTCCCTTGGGCCACCTAGGAAATGGAAATGTGGAACTTAACCGTCGGGGATTGAAAAGTATTTCATTCTAGTGTTTTTCTGCATATTCATATGTGATTAAGTAAATAATGGTAGTCATTACAATGAAATGGAAAAATGAGAAGAGATGAACTTAGGACAGGAGAATGGCTCTTTGAAATTCACTGAATCAGAGCTCAAAGTAATTTGATGATAGTGACTACAAAAGTAAGGGGTCAGCCAGTTGGCAAAACTGCCTACAAGTGAAGTCCAAGTGATTGGATTGGGCTTGATGGACCGTCCAA